ATCGACGCAGTTCATTCCCTCGTCCACCACTGGCAACAACAGCAATCCACACACACCTTAACGGTGGATGTCCAGGCCACAGGCAATCCTTTCCACCACTCACACATTGGCCGACACCATCAGAAGCACCCCGCCCAACGCACCATCCAGACTTCCGACATTACCACCATCGTGGCTTTTGCCCTCAACACATGCATTTTCCGGGCTTGCAACAATACTTACAAACAAATCCGAGGGGCCGGGATTGGATCCCAGCTCTCTCCAGCCCTATGCAACGTTGCCATCACCCTCATTGAGCATTCCTGGCATCAGATCCACAACAACCTCCTTCAACATACAGACCTCCACTTTACTTACTATCGATATGTCGACAACCGCTTCATTGTCCACAACGAACATTTCCTTCAACACCCGGCTATCCAAACCCTCATCCACCACAATTTCTTTGGCGACCCAGTGGAACTAGAACCGGTGGAGGACTTTCATCTCCTCGGTTTCAACATCGACCTCCCACAACGCACCATCACCTACATACAACCTTCTCAACCCTGGAAAATCCGGGATTCCACCACTGCCGGGAGCCAGCGCTTGGCTCTATCAGGCCTTCAATCACGACTTCACACCATTCGAAAATACACATTTCCACCCTCCAGCGCTGACATTGCTGCGGCTGAACTCGTGAACCTATATGTCCAAAAGGGGCATAACTACCACGCCTGCCACCGGTTTTTGAAAAAGCGCCGAATGCGGCGATCTGTGTGTGTCCCACCCTGGACAAAGGGTTTTCCACCACCATTTCTCCACAAGCAGGGGGACAGTCTACCCCACAGAAGTGACAGTCCAACGAAGAGGCTTCTGTGGCGGTACTGATATCAGTTCCGGACGCGGAACTGACGTACCTGCTTTCAACACACCGACTCCAATGGTCCACCCTGCTGCTGTTTCGTTGGTTCCATGGTTGTTCTCATGATAGACCTCAAAACCTTTTCCCACCGCAGATTTGCAGCAGATTTGCCGCTTTGCCGCCGTGCGCTTTCCGCAGTCACGTAAGAAAACCTTTTGTTGAAACATCTACAATTGCGCTGACTTTCCACCTTACCGTTGAGCCATTCCTTTCCTCTGGAGTTTGCATTAACTGAAAATCAAAGTTCGAAGTGAGAGAGAGTGTGAGTGAGAGAGTGAAAGTGAGAGAGTGAGAGCGAGTGTGAGTGTGAGACTGAGTGTGAGCGTGAGAGTGAGGGCAAGTGAGTCAGTGTGAGTGTGAGTGTGAGCGCGTGTGAGTGTGAGTGTGAGTGTGAGCGAGAGCGAGAATGAGCATCTGAGAGCACCAAGCGCTGCGCCTGCCACGAAATCTAATCTGCACTTCGAGGTTCACAAAGTGCTGTGCCCGCCACGAAATCTGCACTTCAAGGTCACAAAGTGCTGCGTCTGCCACGAAATCTGCACTTCGAGGTTCACAAAGTGCTGCGCCTGCCACAAAATCTGCGCATGTGCTGTGCCTGTCACGAAATCTGCACTTCGAGGTTCACAAAGTGCTGTGCCTGCCACGAAATCTGCACTTCAAGGTCCACAAAGTGCTGTGCCTGCCACGAAATCTGCACTTCGAGGTTCACAAAGTGCTGCACCTGCCACGAAATCTGCAGTTCAAGGTCCACAAAGTACTGCGCCTGCCACGAAATCGGGAAACGAGCCACGTGTCCAAAATGCACCTGTCACGAAATAAGAGCACCTCGAAGATCACCACCATATCCAAAGTGCTGCGCCTGCCACGAAATCTGCACTTCGAAGCAAAGCCGCTCCGATCCCTTGCGCCTGTCACGAAAAGTCGACTTTGGAGCACCCAAACACGAGGTTTCCCTTGCGCCTGCAAGGAAAAGTGACCACTATATCTGAAAATGCGCACGGCACCATAACGAGAGCGCTGTCACGACAAGCACCCGCCGCCGCCACCCAGATTCTGGGAGCCTGCGCAGTCGAAATGCACTTCGAGGATTTCGAGTAGCAGCGAATTAGCCGGTCACGGCCGCGCCGCCCACTTGATCTAAGCTCGGTGCTTAACACCTACCTTAAGAACCCCTAAGTGTGTCCACACTGTCACACTGTTTGAGGAAAAAACCTTTTGTAAGGGACCCCAACATCCACCCACGCCAAAGGCTGCCAGAAATCCGTCTCCAAAACCGACCCCTGGCGTTCAAGAATTGTTGAGCCAGTGGTTGAGAGCATCAAAGAAAGAACCCTTTCCTGAACAGGTTGCTGAAGCAAACAGAACCTGTTTCTGAAGTGCAAGTGCTGAGCCAAAAGATTTGTGAAACACAAAAAAGGGGTCCTAAGTCGGAAGAGGTTCCACAAGACATAGAGATTTGCTGAACTTTGTTTGTTATCAAAATGCCAAGCGACAAACGCTTGCATAAACAGCAGTCCAACATCAGTGGTGAGGTTCTATCTCGGCCTTTCAGAAGCTGAATTCCAGCTGGGCTGCCCTGGCGCGTTGTCTGGACGCTGGTTTTGAGCTTTGTCCCCAATGTTGGCAATCTCCCGAACGATGTAGGATACCTGGCCCAGTAGATTTCCTCCTGACCTTCATCCCTTGCTTTGAGCAAAGGCAAACAAAGACCGCATGCCTCTCGGTCCCACTCTGGCGTTCCTGGGATGTACTCATCTCGAAGCCGCCTGGAATGAATGGAGTCTTGTCAAAGACCTGTCAAGTTTGTGTCGTTTCGCCGAGCTTTTTAGCATGGCACCTTTTGGCCTTGTCCATGATCTCATGGGGCTCCTGAACAAATACATTTGCCGGCTGCTCATCCCAAGCTTGTATCTCTTTTGATTTCATGTGCAGCTTAGTGTGACGCTTGTCTGGCGTTTTCAGTCGGAGCTGTGTAGAAGAGTTTTTGTAGAAACACAACAAAGCTCAAAGCTTAGGAACAAATGAGTATGTGCCAGAATGGGTTTATTTGTGCAATTGGCTTGGTGAGCTTCAGGTACTAGTGATCCTTTGTTCCAGCAAGGCTAGCACTTCTCCTACTCCTGTCAGCCGCACTAGCTGCCTGCTCTATGGAACTCCTAGGGCCTAGTATTTTCAAGCTACCTGGCCAAACTCGCCATCTGGCTTGCAGTTTTAGAACGGATGCTGCCTTTCTAGTTTCACTCTCCAAGACCATGCGACTGGACAAGGAGTGGATGTGCACTTACGCAAATTTCCCAAGCTTGCCTGTGACAACAACCAATCGACACGCTCGAGCCGTAACAATCACATCAGTGATCAACACACCTCCTGTCGCCCCTGCCCCTTAAAGCCAAACAAAGCGATAGCGAAGGGCAACAGTAAACAGCGTTAACCATTGAACACCGTGCCTTGTAGATTCTGTCAATGATCAAAACGAGCCTCAGCACACCGTATACAACTGGTCCATCATCCTCTTAACCTTAAAAAAACATGCAACTGGAGCTGGCGCACTGCGGTCGTAAGATTCGAGACTGCAACTCCACGGCTCTTAAGCCAAGTACTGATCATTCAAAACATCCCGACTCTCGAGGAATTGCCTGTGCCGAAACCAAGCTGACGATGAATATCAAAGCCACAGCTTCACTTGTCTGGGTCAACCACTGCACTGAGATTCACTGGGAAAGCACGTCACAATTCCATAGCAACTATTTTCCATCGCATTTTCAGGCATCAAAAGAAGGCTCAAGGCTCTGCCTATTTTGGCTCAGCCTTCAAAGCCTTAACTCTGTCCACACCACTTACTCTCTCCGTACACGTCCTTTCTCTCGCTGCAGTGACTAGTTTTCGGTGACGCCCGTGAGTGAACTCACACTGCAAACGAAGAGCACCGATGAAGACTTTGAATCTATCAAAACATGCCACACTTTTCATGGTAATTTTGTATCTTTTGATCTCCAAGCTGCAGTAAGCAGAGTGGTGTCAGCAGAATTGAAAAAGTCGGTGGTTTGAACACTATGTCACTATGCAGGATAAACCAAAAACTGGAAACCAACAGGTCCACATGAGGCACCTTCTCTGCAAAGCGTGACGACCGCGCTGCCCTCGGTGTTGTGGGCGTCCATGTTCCTGCAACAGGGTGCACGGGTGAAAAGTTATTCGAGTTTGATCGATTTCTGCTGGAAAGTTATGCAAAACAGAGTTGTCAAGGTTTTGCAGCTAGGCACCATAAAGCCGTTTAAAACATATCAGGCTCCTTGCTGTGGCAAAAAGAACAAGTAGCGGCATGCTTGCAGGAGTCATTGCGCCTGACGACTGCAATTAGCTGCTAGTTGCTGTTTGTATGCAAATCAAAAGCGAAGCATATCAGCCTCTCTGGTTTGTACTTGTTGCATGGTTTGCACCCGATTGGGTGCCCAAGACTCCCAGGATTGCCTGAGCACATGCGCAACAGCATGCTGATTTGAAAAGAAGGGTCTTGGCAATATATATATATATATATATTGACTGAAGACAAAACAACAAACCATTGATACAAGAGACACATAAACCATTCATTCTCAAACTATATAGAAGTACAAAATAGGAACTGAAAACTAAAGAGACAGTGCGAACACCATTCGAGGTGCGAGGATCGTCAGGATTCACCTGGAAGACTTCTTTCGGAGACGGGTTCCTCAGGTGCAAGTTTAAATGAGTGAATATGAGTGAATGCAAGGAGAAAGCCAAGGAAGCTCTCCTCTCTTCTTCATATCAGTTCACAAGTCCGTTTATTCGTTTTTGAGATTCCTCGCATCCCATTGGGAGACACGCTTCTTGACTCACTATACATGGTTGAAAAGTATAGCCGTTGAGTGTTAACTCAGCTGCGGAGGTCAGCAATGCGTGAAGCTCTTCATCACAGCACAACGGAATTCCCCCTTGTTTGATGCATATGCTCGATTCCTGACTTGAAGAATGAAACATATAGAATCATATGGATAGAATATACGGCCTGTTGATCAGTTCTGTGATCGTATGTGATCGTTCTTCCGGCTGCGTTCCATTCCTTTCTTCGCCAAGAATGACGATATCGCAGCTTTGGGTGCACTCAACGTTAGAATTCTAAATTGTCCTCGGGACAAACAAGATGCACACCATTTCTGCTGTCGATGCAAGTGAAACTTACTTCTCTGGCACCACAGTGCAACATTCACACAAATCTTGTCAGCAATCTCATGATCTCATGGCTAAGAGATATATACATCAAAGCTGCAATCGTTGCCTTGGTTCAGGGCATCTCTGAGCAGGAACTTGGAGCTGGGAGACATCTGAAGAGAAAGCACAAAAGAGCGGACGCACAGAAATGATCAAATACAATCGTTGATTGACATGAATTACATCAACCACCAAGAGTCATCCACAGCACACTGCAGTGCTGGAAAGGCCTGTGTCCTTTCTGCTGCGACGAGCAGCCGAAGAGTTCTGGAAAGGCCCGTTGCGATCCACTTGGCAGATTAAGATTTCCACCTGACAAAGCGCGGACGATGCGGACAATGCATTGCGGAGGCCTCTCATGTTTTACAACACCGAAACGAACCGCCAGTCTTCCTTTGGTGTTTATGATTCTATATAGAATCAAAACACAGTCCTTTGACTTTGTGAGATCCGTGAAATGCAAAACATTCAGAGATGGTCACAGGAAAGGTCGCTGTCATATGATAGAAGTTAGCAAAAAAGAGATGAGACCTACAAGTATCTCCAATGACATCTTCACATTCATGTGACCACGGATAGAAACTCACCCCCGTTCCATACAAAAAGTCATACTACTTCGGACAGGAGATGTGAGCGACATTAATGATCTCTTGGAGGGATACTGCACCCGATGAAAACAACCAGTGCCTCAGCGGGAAAAACGACTTTTGTTGTTCATACTTTTGCAATTCATGTTGGTTCAAGTGACTTTAGTCAAAAGCGCGTGAACAATCTGAGTGACTGCAAGGGTGTCTTCGTTCTCTGAGAGGTGCACCTCACACTTGGTGTGCCAACATGGGGTGAGCTTCTTCGGACGTGAAGGCTCATCGGCCTTGTCACAGTCTTATGTTGCACGGGTCTCTTTCAGTCTTAGTCTGGGAGCAAGCAGCTTTGCTTGAGGCACGGCAGGGCAGCCCTGCACCAGAATCTCAACGCTGTGGCCTCCTTCATTCATTGCACTAAGCCGCTAAGCGCCGACTGATGGTCTTTGTCATGAAGCATCAAGATCTTCAGCTAAACGCCCAGATAGCAAAATTGTTAACTGTTTGTACTCCTCAGCAGCCAACATAAGCGAATCTGTCCAGTGGCCTCTATGGTCATTGTCGTCAGCAAACTTGTCACGAAGCTTGAACGCAACCTGCACCGGGGTTTCCCCTTCGTTGTCATTCCAGACCACACAGGCTCCATGATCACACAGGAAAATTGCACCTTCAAGGTTACCGCTGGCCACTACTTTGTGCAATGCCGTGCGACCCCCTCCGTCATGAGCGTTGACATCGACACCAAAGTCCTGCAACAATAATTGTGCTGCTGGGATGGCACGGTCATGAACAGAATTGTAAAGCGCTTGGCATACGTCTGCACGACATTCCAAAAGCAATGAAACAACAGCCTTGTGTCCGGCTACTGCAGCCAAGCACAGTGGATCAAGTTTGCGGTTGTCACGCGTACAAGCATTCACATCTGCTCTTTGGGCAACCAGCCATTTTGCCATTTCAAGTCGCCCCATCGATGCGGCCACATGCAAAGGTGTCTCGCCATGTCCATTGTGATCATCAATTAAAGCTGAGTACATCTTCGCCACATGAACATCGCCCTCTTCAACGGCCAAATGTAGTGGGAACAAATCGATTTGTCGGTCCCATGACAAGTGGCATGTATGGCAAATGGTCCACTGGCATGCCAAGCAACGGTAGCATTGTAGATCCAACCGCCTGCAACACCGTTCACAAGAAGCTTCCAGGCCGTGTGGTGCAGGCTCGAGCTGAAGTGGAGTGTAGCACGCTGGGCACATCTCTTGCTGAGATCTTGCTGCTTCTTGAATATGATGGTAAAACTGTCTTTCAAAGAAGAACTTTGCGCTGGGTTCCAGTATGCTGGGTTCAGGTATTTCATACCATGACTGGGGGGGAGCCAGCCAGTCGTGCTCGTAGTCACTTGCTGTCTCTGACAATCCAACTTCCCTCCTGAAGTTGCACCCGGAGGTTGTCAAAGAAAAGCACTCGGAAAAAGCCCAATAGGGAACCGTGTTCCACAGACACATATATATATATATATGAACCGCTTTACTTTGGAATGGATATCATCATCTCCAGCTACAAAGCCCACAAAACATTTCCAGTGCACCCACACGGCCTGGTCATCTCAGTCATGGCCTCTGAGTAGTCAGAATTTGCGACCAGGCGGAAGCAAACCAATGGGATCGATTCACGGCTTTCACTCTCTTCCGCCTCCTAGCTTGGGATGGGCTTCTGGAGGTTGAGGGCTCATGCATGTGTTTGTACCAAGAACGCCCTGTGGTTTCACCCTAAACACATCAGCACATTTGAGGGTGCTGAACACTGCAGATTGGTATAGATTTCTCGTTTGTTGTTTCAGTCTAGAGTTGTTATTCTGCCAATTGGGTTTCCAAGATTCTCCATGCAAGGTTAAAGCCACCACTGGAAGTAATCACCTCCAACCCCGCAATGGTCACACATTTCTATTCATCTACCTTTGAAGTAAATCTTCTCACAAAGAAAGTATACGCCAAGCATCCTTGTGGTACCACTCTTCCACAGCGCGGGCACAGTGCAAAATACGGCGTGCTTGCGCAACACATTCATCAACGCTGGCTTTTGTGTTGCGAATCATGTAGTTCGTGTAGTGGGCTTCAGAGCCTATCCTGGAGAAAATGCGGTGACATGCAACGACAAGGTGCTGCGTTGTGTGACTTATTTTGGCGACACTTGCATCCTTCACAAGGAAGCCAGAAGCACAACGCAGCTACATTAGAAACATCACTCCAAGACAGTGCGGAAACCCAACCAAAAAAGGCTGTCAGGTCCCGACCAACTGGTGATACTATTCGATATGGTTGCATCGCGCCGAGGGACATCAGCAGTAGTTCGGGCCCGTCACCTGGATAGTCCACCTCAGGTTGCATGTATTCTGCCTTGAAGGTAGGAAGCGTGAAATGTACAACAACGCCCAGCAAATGCTGTTGCAGTAACCACAAAGCACACAATCACAACTCTTTATGTTGGGCGATTAAGATCTAACCGATTGTGTATGGACCGTATTAGACCATAGTAAAATTACACCCTTGCATTTCATACCTTCAAACATGTGCGCATGTCCAGAACTGAGAACATTTCCCAACATGTATTGTGTTTCCACAACCCCTTGAGACCCTCGACCGGTCTCTTACCATGTTGAACTGCGCGATAGATCACACATGAATCATGTACCCGCATACAGGATACATTGTAGTCCTTCCTTTCTTTTTGCCCTTTTGCATCCTTCTTTCAATTGCGTTCCGTGTTCTACATCATCAAGGTTTGGTGGTCTTTTGTTGTCACTCATCACGGATTTAATACAATTACTTCCGGTTCTATTTTGACGACATTATAATTTAATCAAAGCTACTGCAGTGTGAACATTAGTTAGCTATTAGCTATTAACGGAGTGCTGCATGTGGCGGCTGGTTCTTAATGCACTGCTGAAGTAGTCCATTGTAGCAACTGTTTCGGATTGCAGTAATTACACTTGATAAACACATAAGTCCAACGCCAATAATATGCATGTACACACCATGCACAAACATGTGCATGCACAGAGCTACTTGGAAAAAAACAACACAGTGAAAGGCCAGGCGTCAAATGATTGTTTTGAGAGGCAACGATTCTACTGTGGTCATTAGCTTTGACTTCTGCGAAGCGGGAGAGTGTGCAAGGGAATGTGGGTCCTGGTCTAAATGCAAATGTAGAAGGGTGCAATCCTGTGCAGGAGGGGAGAAAAGGAGCAAACGCGTAGGATCAGTCGGGTTTGGTAGCGCTGCTGTCTGACCTTGTTGCGGGCTACCCTTGGAGCTTGAACACTATGACACTATCAAGCTGCTCCTCCCACAGTGTCACAAAGGCCGCTCTGGTGGTGACCGTCTGAGGCTCTCTCACTTGAAAAGGACACACTCTGACACTTGTATTCAGTTAACTCAATTCCCCGAGGAAAGGAATGGCTCAACGGTAAGGTGAGGAGTCCGATCAATTGAAGATGTTTTAACAAGTGGTTTGTGCACAACTGCGGCGACAAGCTGCAAAAAAGCGCGGCTGCTGAAAGTGGCTGAGAAACCTGTTTGGGGGGAGGAAGACATGAAACACCATGAAAACAAACCAAACGATTGGACAGCGTGAGCAAAAGTTAAAAGTGCAGGTACACGGGGATGATCAGTCCCCGCATCCTGGTCGACTGCATGGAGCTTCGTTGGCGACAGCCATGCAGCGACCCTGTCGCCCCCTGCCGAAGTCGGTTGAGAACCCTTTGTCCAGGGGTGGACACACACACACACACGAAGGAGATTCTCATGGAGGCAGGCACCAAAGCTGGCAATTCCTGTACTCTGCTGAGTACAAGAATTCCACCACCAAACAGCCAGTCCTGCACCAGGAGATGCTCATGATTCATGGTCAACAAATGTTGGATTATTTTGGGCAACCCTGACTATGCGGGCCATGCTTGGGAGCCATACTGCACCGGTGCTCACTGCAAACAATGCAAAGCCAGCTCCTCACATCTCAAGATGAGAAGACTATCAAAAGCACCTCCTGGTGCAGGAGAAGCTATTTGCGGGGCAAAACATGCAGGACTATGTCTTGTGGCAAACAGGAGGGACGCTTTGCCAGGCTTTTGTTCGATGGGCCGTGTCACTACAGGCCAAGCCCTTCATGTGGCCAGAACATGTCACATCACTTAGACTTGTCATACTCCGACAAAGACTTGTGCTGCTCCCAGCAGGAGTCCACGCCTTCGCGCGAGAGTGAAGCTTCGGCGCACTGCGAGATCCTGCAGGACCCGTCGCAGCTCAATGTGAAGCTTCGGCTCTCGTGCCGCCAACGCCACCAAAAGCTGAGCGTGTTTCAGTCGAGTTTTGCAGATGGGAACAAACGATAGTGCAAAAACACAAGCGCACACCATATTCCCGCAAAGAAAGTTATTCTTTGCAGAGTTGAACCTAAAACCTCTAAAATCCTGCCGGTGACCTGATAATGGACCAGTGTTCACCGACTGGGCTTAGTTTTTTGATCTTAGTAGTGCTTAAAAAAGTGCCAGATTGAAAACCCAGAACTAGTGCAGCGCGTATTTGCAACTAGTAAAGTGGAACAGTCCAGTTCCTTGCACTCACGCAAAGCAATCATCAAAGAAACCATCATTGTTAAGCAAAGCCGCAGTGTAGCACCCCTCTGGCACTTCGCCAACTCGCTTCAATATGTCCTTTGCATAGTAGGAGATGCAAATGGCCAACTGCACCGCTTCATTATGAGCGTCGTCTTCGTAGGCAAGGTAGGCGTCGAAGGCATCATTGCCCATGATCTCAAAAACTACGGTAAGTTCCTCAGCGCGTACTTCAGCCCGGTTTGGCCACCAATGTCCACCTGCATCGTCGGACAAGACCTCGTTCGCGTCGTAGCTTGAGATGGCCTTTGAAGTTGATTGGGGAAAACCAGCCCAAACAACTGCATGCCACAAATTGTGGTTCGCTAGCAATTTGATTGCAGAAAACCGCAAACTAGAGCGAAATCCCAAACTACCTGAGCCTAAGAAACCTTTCAGTCTCAAATCTCAGACTACCTGAGCCTAAATCCCCTTTATTGGTGTTTGCGATTTGAGACCGAAAGCACGTTGTGGCCCACTGCAAGTGGCCCACTCGCTCCCCTTGAGGTCGGCTGGTGGAACAGGAGCGCCAGTAACCAGGGTCCAAGCGCTGGTCAAAGTGCGAGCCAAGCTGGTCAAGCTCCTCTAGGGCCAAGCCTTCATGAACGCCACTGAGAGAGATGTTGAGCAGTCAAGCACAAATCAAGCAGCATGGGGGTTCTGGGAGCTTTGAACGAAAACTTGACGTGCATGACTGTTAGAGATGTGATCAAATGCGATCTTCAAACTTTAGACTGGCACGAACCACCCGATCCTTGACTGACCTCTTGTGGGCTGGTAGCTTGCAGGAATATAATCATCATGATTCAATATCTCCTGCTCAAGGATCCGCGTTGCACCGACCAGGGCTGCGGCGGTGTCAAAGCCACTCTGCAGTGAAGCTTGGTCATCATTCCAGGATCTCTGCTCTGAAACTGCATTGTTTGCCACCTGCTCCATCAGCTCGAAAGCGTGTTGGAATCGGGTAGTAACTTGCCCTGACTCTGACATAAGTGGGAATTCGTGGCCTCCGGTGAATCTGATAGTGCAAGGATCCTTATTTTCAAGAAAGGACATAATACGCATTGCAGCTGCTCTGATGTCCCTTGAAGCGTATAATACCAACGGCGCCACGTCTTCCACTTCAGAGAGCTCCTGCTGGAACCATGTACATGTATCTTGGATGGACTCGAACTGTTGGCCAATCCACTCCTCCTCGAAGGCAGCTGTGCCAACATAATAAGTTTCAACTATGTTTTTATGTGTCTGAGTGTCATCCGCACGATCTGCTGTCAGCACCAAAAACTCCCGAGTACGGATGCTTTCCATTAGGGGGCATTTTGGGAGTTTCGCTACATTACAGGCAGGGAACCGTTTGCCGAACTGACACAACAAAAAAAACACCCAAAGAGCCTCACATCCAATCAAATTGTGACAAAGGATAAACATGGTGAATACTGTCGACCTCTTTGGAAAAAGGCAGTTGGCATGTTTCAACTTTTCTGCATGCCTGGCCGGTTAAGGCCCAACAATTGGGGCTCATGGAAGCAGCAATCGCTGAGAAAACTGTTCGAAGTCTGATGCGACTTCCAATTGCCCTAAGGGTCTGCCTCGCTTTCCAGGTCATGGGCCATTGGGTTAGAACTTGCCAAAAATAGCGCGCAACTCCTGACCGGATGGGCTCTACTTTGTGCAAAAACGTTTTGCAACACTCCTCGTTGAAGGTTTGGTCTTCTTCCTCTGCATCATCGGGAGCCTCCTCCAAAAGTAGTAGCAAGCAAGGACTCTGGTCAAAGGAGAAACTCCACTTCACCGGGTTAAAATGGGAGCAGACGGTACGACCAGCGACCATATGAACAGTGAGGTACTTACACGCCTTTGGCGCTTTGTGGAAATCTCTCACTCACTATAGCATACGTCTTTTGCGCAAAAACATCATAAACACTTCCTTTGCAGGTGCTGTGTCAAACCAAATCCAGTTTGAGAGCACCGTTGAGAAACCCAACCTACAATACCTGGGTATACCTGGGTGCTGTCTCACCATCGTTGATCTCAACACCCATTCAACACCCAATTCTTTACCGCCTCTTCATCAAAAGCATCGCTGGGTAACAGCATGGCATGGCAAATGACTGCTACTAGCAGCTCGTCAAACAAATGACAAGTGTTGCCTTGCCACATTTCCAATACCAATGCTGTAGCTTGAATGTCTTTCCAAACACAATTTGTGCATCCAATGGTGAGAACCTCAGATTATGGGAAAAATGGTGCCAAGAAAGGACATCAAATGCTGCATCTGCATGAAATCATGCACGAGCAGCAAAGCACCAAGGCATAAAGCAAACAAAAGAAGAAACTGGCAACGCCTGTCTAATCTTCGTTCAAATGCTGCTGAAGTCTTGTTCTTCCTGGAATCTAGCAGAGTGAATGAATTAATGAATGAAGAATGAATGAATGAATGAATGAATGAAGGAAGGAAGGAAGGAATGAACGAATGAAGGAACGAATGGAATGGAATGGAATGGAATGCAATGCAATGCAATGATATGCAATGCAATGCAATGATATGGATGGATGGATGGATGGATGGAGGGATGGATGAATCCATGCGACGACTTCTGGACGTCCTCTCTGATGACCTCTTGCCTGCAGCATCTCAAACGCATGCATCAATGGGAGTCACACTCTGTCCCTTGTGCTTCGAATAACACATGGCGGACTCAATGGCGGACTTACTTTGTGGATGGTTTCTTTGCCCTTTCTCATATCATGTCTGATCGAAAGGAGAGTAGTCCCATAAGGGTTATTATCAACCAACTGGGCCAGTGTTTTTATCGCCGGCAGTCTTGTTCTCGTTGGTGGCTCAACTGGGCGTGGCCTTTCCGTTTCACAACCACCGGTGCTCAACCTTTTTCAGCATGGTACTTGCAGCTCTTTGGACTCTGGTCCACTGCGAACACCCTGCTCCAGAGCTATACACAGTAATTATGATTCCTAGTTTTTTGACTTGCTTCACAACCAGCTGCAAATGACAAATTGATACAAATTGATTCATCTCAGCACGCATCGATCTGGTCGTGCTCTCTCCTGGAATCCGCTCTCACGCACGGCGCACTAATTACGCGCAAACTGTGGTCAGATCTCCCAAGGTCTTTCATTTCGTGAGTGGACATGTTGTTTCTCTGGTCTTCAATGCTGCAACGAAGAGTTTATAACAGCTGACAACGCAAAAACAAAACACCTTCTAAAAATGTCAGAACTTGGAATTTAAGAACCACACTGGTCGCGGGCCACCCATCTATTTCCCCAAACAGTGTAGTTGACTTTGAAGGGAACAGGCTGGCCTGTAGAAGGTGCCTTCGTGCGCGCTTCGTAATACCGTCTTCAGCAAGTTGCAAAAGTGAACTGAGGAGGCAAATCCGGACATTTAAGGATCTTCATTCTAAGAGTCGGTGTGTTTCCTCCAATTGCAAGCATGGGTCCAACCTGGAACAATGTTCCGAGCTTTGCAGTACATCGCAAGAACTACACCCCGACCCTTCAAGCAAATTAGACTCTCCACTCAGCTGAATACTATCTGCAACATTTTGCATGCGAAGAAAGCACAAATGAGAACACACACGCAATACGCGTGGGACCCTCCACAATGCTAATGCTTGTCCCTCTTACACCTGGGAGTCTGGTGCCCGTTGGAAGTAGCTCTCCACCCACCACAACAATATGCACAGGTGATTAGTAATTGACTATACAGTAGGACATTCATGGACATCCTCTGTATATGTTTTCCGAAGAAATGTCTACAAATATAATAAATATATATATAACATATTTGTTAGGTAGACCGATCACATTTCCAAACAAGTGTGAATCCGGCTCCCCTCAGCCGTCATGCTTCCTTCAGCCATCCAACTGTAACCCGGCACAAAGGAATCCGCTGGGAATAAGTGCAGCGATGCCTTCAAGAGCACCACCAGCTCCAGGTCCTCTGTCATGCAGCGTGTGGAACGAACCAGTGATCTGCACTGAAACCAAAAGGCTGCACTCACAAATTGCCCCAAACCCGTTTAGCTCCACCCAAACAAACAAACAAACAGGTTACTGTAGCAATCTCATGTTCAGTGTTTTGTCTTGTCTCGTTGCTCAAGGCCAAGGCGTTGGTTCTATCGACGCTGGCTGACGCCATGCCTCGGCATCGCACAGTGCCGGCTCCAAGATGACTGTGCCCGACTGTTTACAGGGACATGATTTGCTATGTTGATACGATTTCATGCGTGATCATGCGCACATTGGATCATGAGTCTCCTGAATATGCTGTTTGACACATTCGATTAAAGTTCTGGTCAAGTCAGATCCAAAGCAAGATAGAAATGAAACAAATACTACAGTACGTAACATTACGTAACAAAACATTTGAAGGACTATTTGAAGGTTATGACGCACCCAAATTTTTGCACTGACCAACGCTGGCGCGGCAATCAAGCGGCATTCACCCGAAGAACCAATTCGGGGTAGACCGCTGCAGGGTGATACACAATGTATTCATCATGGACCTGCAGCTCCCCTGGAGCTTTGCAAGTGTGACCCTTTTTGGCATGTGTAGAGTCAAAGCCATCAGTCGGAAACAAACGGTTGATGCAAACATCGTCCAACAGCTCAATCTCGCCAAGGACAACACGGCAAATGATGATGCATCCATCCCCCGCCGTATACTGAAAGGCCTTGCAACTTGAAGTGGTGAAATACAAGCCTCCTCCATACAAACCTGGTTTCTCTAGGGAGAACCTTGTTTGCAAGCCATCACGACAAATGTTGTCAACTTTGTCTGCCGTCGTGCCGTGGAGCAGGTAGACGGTGTTAGCCGCCCTTGACAAACCATTCCTGTCTGCCAAACGATCAAGCCATTCATGAACACAGGGCCTTGTGCTGATCCCACTAGTCTGGAGCCGCTCTGCAGTTGCAGTTTCATATGCTTTAAAGCGCTCAAAAGCTTGCTTGTTTTCAATACGCTGGATTTGGACAACAGACAAACCCTCATCACGGCCAAAACTACATTCACATGGGCCGTCTAGAAGCTCATTCTCGCCCCTAGACTCTGCAAGCATCATTTCAGCCTTTCTTTGATTGTACCCACCTGTGCGATAATCATTCACAAGCATCGGCAAATCTGGTTCTGGTGAAGAAAAATAAGGCGGAATGTCAACAACTACGAGTGGCTGCTGATCACCAACGGAGATCAAATAGTCTCTCTCTGAGATCAGACCACATCGCCGCATGTGCGCCGCCAGATTTGCCTTTGCCTCTGGCTTCACATAGCCACTGGCTCCGATTGACTGCAACGAAGCAGTCACTCCTCCATCCTTCAAGCCGAAGACACCGCCACCTGAAGCCTGCGCTTCAATGCTCATGCCCTGAGCCGCCGGAGATCCTTTGTCAATGCCCCCAGTCTTGTAGCCCAGGTGTTGAGCAAGCTCTACTCCTCGGCTCATAAGCTGACTGCATGATATTCGGTCTAGGCTCAATGCCGTTGCATGGAGTGCAATCACTGCATCCATGACTGGAAGACAAAGATTGGGTGTTCACTGCGATTGAGCCTATTGGCTCTCAGTTTCAAACACATGAGCAAACACTAAGGTGAAGGGGTGGCTGGAAAGAATTCAAAAGAACAAGAGGCACCAAACTGTGGTGACCTTACACGTCCACCCAAACCGCGTGGACTGAAATGTGCGCCTATGCTTTTCTGCGTGATTTCTACGCCTTCCTTTGCTCCATGGGGGATGTACAACTGTACTGACTTAGTCCAAATGAATCGTCCATTCAAAAGACCATCTTCCTTCCAAGCTCCCAAGGCCCATGCCGAGCTACTTCGAATTCCTCAACAGCGCCTCCCAACAACTCTGGGGTCGTGGCATTTGACTTCAGCCATCAAGAAGATCCAAGAAGCTCATCTTGTGCCTCAAATACCGCTGACACGATTGTGACCATGTCGATCCCTCGGATCTTCAGCTCTCTGGATTCCCCGCAGCAAACTGCTCTCCAAATCTTGCAACGCACCACATGTGCAACACACCATCCCTGCAAGTCCCTGCTAAAACCTACTAAATACTGTATAATCAAAAGGATTCAGAAGGGGCCAATCCCTTCCGTCCCTGAGGCTGTCCCTCGCAATGTTCTTGCTATGCAAGGAAGGAGCCTTTGTTGCAATACTCTTATCTGAAAGGTCTTGAGCTGGTGGCCCTGAGATTGAACACCCCTGATTGCTTCCGTTTGCCAATTCAGCTCCCGCTTCAGGAATCACGGTCCATCCTGTCAAGCATGCCAACACCTTGAACGACTTCAATTTTGGTAGACTCAGTGGTTTTTGTGGTTCGAAAGAACTCTTCTTCTCATTTCTTCTCCTGTGCCGTGTTTGGCTTGTTAATGCCAGTTTGGAGCTCTATGCTGACACCCATTCCATCTTAGGCTTTGAAAACATTCCTAGGTGCCCTGTGTCCCTACCAAACTCTCCATGATCCTCGCGCTCGCGGTTTGCGTCTTTTTTGACCTTTGAGTTCTCGTGCGGGCCTCAGAGTGTTCTGCAGAAAAAAACAAAAACATAAACACACCTGATTGTAACAGTATTACAGCTGGCCGCTATGGCGTGTCTATTTTTCAAAGAGGAAACATGGGAACTCCCGCCAGCTCGGCCAGTTCTGGGTACCCCGAACAGAATCGCACACGTCTGCGCTATTCTGTGCACCTGATCCAAACGTCCAAGAAAAACACATTGCCGAAGACAGGGCTCCACACTCGGAGATGGTTTCACTTCCACGTCATAATCTTTCATTCTGCCGAAGAAGAAGTAAACACTGTACATTCAGCTTGCAAACGAAGGGTTGATCATTACAGCAGCTGATAAGGCAACCTCTCGGCATTTGTATGTGCTATTTGCAGCGAAGCCCCGTTTGGGCCTGTCATCTGAGCTATCTGGGCAACAAACCATTTACTATGCTGAAAAACTTGTGATTGGAGTGCCTGTCATAGCCGAGGGTCAACATCAGGATGCTGTGCTCCTGCGGCCAATGGGAATCGACAACTCCATTCACAAGTCACAAGTTCTCGGCCATCTAACCCCTTCGAGCTCTGCGGCTATGCGCTTGCGCCTCTATGCTGTGCTCCGCTCATTCCAATTGAAGTCCCACAATCGGAACAGCACGCGGCCGACCAAAACCGGTCCAGTAGACATTCGATGTATGGTCGAAAGAACTGTGGGGGCAAGAGACCATATACAATGCATCCGACGGTCAACAAGCGACGCCAAATACATTCAATGCATAAGTCAATTCCTGAAGAATATGGTACTGGTGCCCGCTGAAGTTAATACATTTTGCATGTGGGATCTAAACCACCATGGAACGCCGATTTGCAAAAGTCAGTCTCAGGATCTAGCGTTTATCCTTCGCAAGGCCGGTTTAGCCAGTTTAGCCCTCGCAAAGGCGATGGCTTCCATTGGGCGGTTGGATGTCACAAGTCTGTTGTCATTCTATCCGTCTGTTGACATCTAATAGCATCGGTCTTCGAGGAGGGCAAATCAGAAATGATAAGAACTCGATACAAATGCATTCATGACCCCGCAGCATCTGGTCAACGATGCTTTACCTTGTCTCTTAACCGGAACAAGTCAGGCCGCGTCAGTCAGGCTGCACACCAAGACTATAGTTTCCTTCAAAACGGTTCACCGCTGGACCTCTACCAGGACCAACAGCTGCTTCTTGGACACCCCGAATCACCTATAAGAGGCCATTTATAGACACCTCTTGGATGTTTTGGAAGGTCCTGGTAGTTGGAAGACGTTGGAAGCTGGTCCTCTGCTTCTCAACGGCTTTGACAAACCAGTTGCCTGTCGACCTGTCTCGGGTCTCGGGCGAGTCCAGAAGCGGAAACCGCGCCTCGCGGCCTCGCTGTGGTTCTTGATGAGCTGGTCATTCATCCGCCTCAACGAATCACTGAAATAGGTTTAAACCCTCCATATCTTGTGCCAGTTTTGGATGTACAGAACCTAGGCTGAGGGTTGGTGAGTTGCTTCGACAATGTCCGCGACATCTTCACGACTGTTCCAGGCCCTAGGGAAGCATCAACAGGGGCGGGCGGAACTTGGAACCAGGTGTTGATGTCCCTAGCAGCACAGCATGCCGCAGCGTGTTCTCTACATCCAAACCTTGCCACATCCACATTTCCAAGAAGGGCTCCTGTTTCCAACTTCTCCAAGATCTGGAAATAGAACTTCAGCACAGCACCGAGTTCCTCCCAAGTTCAGGACCGCCGACTGCGGACGGGGGAGCGGGAACGACTTCATGGAACCCACGACCTTTAGTTGGGGCACTCACGACCGCTGTCACAGGATGCACCACCCTATATACATATCAAAAGTCTCCATGCTCGAACCAACAGGAACAAAACTTGCTCAAAATACCGACGCTTGTTCGAAGGTGCGTTGAACAAACATGAATCAAACCTGCATGTAGTCAACTGGGAAAAAGTAGATTCATTCGGTTCTGTAAAAACGAATTGTTCTCTAACACCCGGTTGAACCAAAAGCCACACCATGCAAAACCCTCGAATATCTCAAAGTCATCGATACAGGGCTTAGGCCAGGCTCCCTCACCGCTTCAAGTGTTCTTTTCAGTTTCAGGGATCTTCAGGGAAGGAAAAGCACTGTTTCAGCGGCAGTGAAAAAGGAATCTGGGTTGCGGAACAAACCTGCAAAAACATGTGTGGTTGAAACGTTGTGAAACATTAGGCATTTTCGGTTGACAAGGAACACATGCTGAAACTCGGTGTGCATGGCATGGGTAGGACCTCGAGCATCAAAAACATGAAAGTCCCCTGAACCGTTCAAAATATTTTTCAGTGCACGTCGTGGTAGGCACGGTGTTTCGTGAACGAAACAAATTACCATTTGGTGTCACGCGAATTATTTGGTGCAAAAACGCGTTCCTGTTAGGCGCAATTTTTGTGAATCAGTCCAACAAAAAATGTTGGGGGCCCATATGTGCTCTCTCATGTGTGCGTGCATGTGCGCGCGTGCGCTTTCATATTGTGCTTCTAATGTGAGTGCTGACATGGATTGGAACTCAAGAAACATCAAAAAACAGGAAACAACACAAAATAAGCAGTGCGAAAACAAGTTCATGTGCGCACATTTTCACACAACGGGCGTTTCACACCACAACCGTCAATTTATGCCCATGGAATACACTTGAAACAGCATTGAAGAAGACCACCACACCAGCTAAACAGGTGACCAGGCCCACTTAGGGGATCAGGCAGACTTAGGGTACCAGCGAACTGAATTGTATTGATTTATTTTGATCCTGTTTTCTCTTGGTGATCTACAATCCTTTTTCCAAAGTTTGTCTCACCAGAACCGAGTAGAATCCTAGAAGGGCCCGTCAACATCTAGTGTTCTTTCACTTCTCCAAATACAACTCCGGCTAGATCGCATCAGGGTTGTGAGGCCCCTGCACGTTGGCACATCATGGCACATCTGACCAAACAACGCTCTGGTGGATTACTCCACAACGACCCGTCATCACCCATTTTATATAGGTTAAACCGCTGATTTTGCGCTCACAAAGCGATGCTGCCGGGCGCCAAGTGACAATCAATCGGCCTCCACTCGGAGAACAAATTCAGGGTAGACAGCTGCTGGGTGGTACACAATGTATTCATCATGGACCTGCAGCTCCCCTGGAGCTTTGCAAGTGTGACCCTTTTTGGCATGTGTAGAGTCAAAGCCATCAGTCGGAAACAAACGGTTGATGCAAATATCGTCCAACAGCTCAATCTCGCCAAGGACAACACGGCAAATGATGATGCATCCATCCCCCGCCGTATACTGAAAGGCCTTGCAACTTGAAGTGGTGAAGTACAGACCTCTTCCATACAAACCTCGACGCTCCAGAGAGAACCTTGTTTGCAAGCCATCACGGCAAATGCTGTCAACTTTGTCCGCCCTTGTTCCATGGAGGAGGTAAACAGTGTTGGCCGCCCTTGACAAGCGATTCTTGTTTGCCAACCGATCAAGCCACTCGTGCACACGGGGCCTTGCGCTGATCCCATCAGTCTGGAGCCGTTCTGCAGTTGTAGTTTCATGTGCCTTGAAACGCTCAAAAACATGTTTGTTTTCAATGCGCTGGATCTGCACAACGGACAAATCCTCGTGCCGGCCAAAACTACACTCGCACGGACAGTTTCGGAGCTCATCAAAGTGCCTAGACTCCATGAGCATCGTTTCAGCCTTTCTCTCATTGTACCCTCCTGCACGATAGTCACTCATCAGCATTGGCAAGTTTGGCGTTGGTGAGGAGAAGTAGCGTGGAACGTCAACAACAATCAGCGGTCTCTGATCACCAAGAGCGATCAAGTAGTCTCTCTCTGAGATGAGACCGCAGTGCCGCATGTGTGCCGCCAGATTCGCCTTTGCCTCCGGCTTCACATAGCCACTGGCTCCGATTGACTGCAAGGAGGCAGTCACTCCGCCATCCTTCAAACCTGGGACGCCGCCACCATGATCTCGTGCTTCAATGCTCATGCCTTGAGCGGCCAGAGATCCTTTGTGAATGCCCCCAGTCCTGTAACCCAGGTGTTGAGCAAGCTCTACTCCTCGGCGGATGAGTTGGCCGCATGAAATTGAAATGCTGTCCAAGCTCAGCGAATGTGCATGGAGTGCTAGTACATTATGCATGACCCGAAACAAAGGTCGGATCTCCACTGTCTTTGAGCCCATCCAGCGATCGAGACTTACAAAGGTGATGTCCAACTTGCACTACCTATGACCAAGCATACAAACAACATTTGCCGGACATGCGGTCGAAAAGTGTCGCGTCGCCGCGCGCGTCACGG